CCAAGAAGCATGGAGTGGGAGGAGTTCCTTGCGGCCCCGCGACACCCATGTTGACTTTTTGTGATTATGAAATTATCTTTCAGAAGTTAGGAGTTTTGCAAGCTTGAGCCAGAGTGACCTGGTAGATCTATCAGGCTCACCAGTTAGAACTGGACAGTGTGGGATGAAGTTGATTTCCTAAACCAGCTTCAAACTGGCATAACTGAGGGGATAGATCTTTTAGAACCATGGGGAATCTTCCATTTTTAGGGCAATCAACAATTTACCAGCAATAGCTTTCCAGCCATTTGGCTAAAAGGATTGCTGGAGTTGACAGATTTCCTTTCATGCTACTAGAACTATCAAGCTAGACTGGGGGGCTTTAACTAGGTATAAACCCATACTTATCCAAGATGTGGCTTGCTATCAACTAGCAATAGCTTTCATATCAAATGCTCCACCTAATTTTTAAACTCAGGAGTGTTTAACAAGGAGTTGAGTGCATCATCCTGTATTGAGTCCCTATATTGGGAGAAAGGCGGGATATGAAATGATGATGATGAATATAGAATAATCATTTTAGAGATGTATGAAGAGCTCGTATAAACATACATGTTCTTCTGGATTGTGAGCTTTGATTCCACATAATAACAGCAAGATGTCCTGCTCCAGACCATGATGTTAATATAATCCATGGCTGGAATCCATGGCAGATACAATGTGCAGCCTGTAGTTACACACTTGTGGCTCTTACATATTCAAGATCCCTATGTAGCCATAGTTTAGGGGCTATGTTTCTTGTTGTTGTTATTAACTGCCTTTGAGTTGATCCCAGCTCATGGCAACCCTGTGGATGAGACACCTCCAAGTACCCCTGTCCCATGAAAGTCCTCATCTCCACTTACTGAGTAGGAAGCAGCTGGTGGTCATTTCCATCCACTCCCACCCCCAGCATGTAAGCATCTTTGGCACAAGAGTGAATTGCAACAGGGACCCTGTTTCTGCCTGTCCCACCAGAGATTACTCCCAGGAGGAGTGGGACCATGAGTCAACTGTTTTCTGACTGACAAGAGAACAGACCCCAGCTGATTATAGTGCATGCTATCTAATAAAAGGGATGAAGGGGTCATGCTGGATTCAGCATTTAGCCCTATAAATGAAGTGCTTACACATGCATAAAGACCATATAGAATTCCAGCCCATATGTTATAAGGTTGCCTTTGTATAGTCACCATTACAGTTTTACCCACTCCCTCCCTCCACATTACTTTTTTAAGCCAGTAATTTATCCAAAATGGCTGTAATTGCTTCAGTAAATTAAAGGGTTACCAAAGATTTACAATAATAATCTAGCTGAAACAATCTCGTTGCTACTTATGTCTGTTACTGAAAGACCAGAAGCATGTCAGCAAGTTGTTCCCAGTGCCGCACAATATGACTGGTAAAATAATGTCACCATTATATGCACTTATTTCCCTGGTTTTGAAAAGTTTTATTTTAATTTGCTTCACTTTTGTCAGGGGGTCATTTTTCTCCACCTATGGTTTAGCAAATGCCATTTCCATGGCTACCATCATGCCTTTCACCATTCATACAATGGGGGGTGATTTGTGTGTGAAATAGATGTCTAATCAGAGGCAACGTGCATTCACTATCTGAACTGAAAGGCCACCCACTTCCACTTTGGGAGAAAGGTGGGATATGAGAGCAATAAATAAATGAACTTGGTGGATTTGAAGGACCTCTATATGCCAACAGCCAATATTGCTCCAACATATTACTTCAAAACTCTTACATTTTCTTAAAGGGAAATCTCCTCCTTTTTGTACTGGCTTCAGAGCCAGGCCTTACACAAAACCAAGAAATTTAATTTTGTACAGATAGATATTCATTGTTTCTAGAGCTACTGAGTTGTCGGCATCTATTTAACAAAGTGGGAATTTTTCACTAATAGAAGGTGGAGATGACCCAAAGCTTTAAAACAGCAGCAGTGGCTTCTGTGGCTGATACTAGTGCACCCCCCCAACAGCAACCATTTTAAATGACCATAGAATGACACTATGTCAAGATGTGGCATTATTCTAGGGGTATTGGAGAGAGAACAATAGCTTCCATCACTGGCAGTTGAAATTTCCCTTCACAGTACTCCAAATGTTGCATACTGATGTAGTATATTTCTAAGGGGCCATGGGAGCAGTCGGGAAATGGCTTGCCAGCACACACCTATAGGAATTTGACTGCCACTTGATCTGTAATGAATCAGTATTAAAGATAAAAAGCCAAAAAAAACAAACAAACCCAGAAACATACAAGGCAACTTCAGAGGTCTTC